GCGATGGATTCGCAAGTGACCGACCAGGCCGATGCGTGAATTGAAGGTGCGATCGCAGTGAGGGCAGATGTAGTCCTGGCCCTCACGTCTGATGATGGAGGTTGCAGGGGTTGTGCCTGTTGTTGTGTCAGGTTCGGCTGTGGTGAAGTAGTGGGCGACAGACGCCGAAGCGGCCGTCGTTGTGGCAGTGATGGAGGAAGAGGAGGAGGAAGGGGAGGAGTGGGAGGTGGTAAGGTCGGTGGCGTCGATGTCGGTTGGGGAGTGGTTAGTGGGTGCGCAAGGTGGTGGATTGGGAGTGGGGCTCGGCGGGTAGGGTGTGTCAAGGCTGCGGTCAATTCCGCTCTCGTGGATGCGCATGTGGCCGAATAGACCCATGCGATGCGTGAAGGTGCGAGGGCAGTGTGGGCAGTGGAGGCGAGTGCGGTGGGTGTAGGTTGGTGCTCCAGGCACTGGTTCGCCAGTCTCTGTACGATGGATTCGCAAGTGACCGACCAGGCCGATGTGTGAGGTGAAGGTGCGGTCACAGTGAGGGCAGGTGTAATCCTGATCCTCATCACTGGAATCGGGAGAGGTGGGAGAGGTGAAGTCGGTTTTTGTGTTGGGGTTGGTGATGTGTGAGACGGCAGTCTGAACGGCCGCCGCTGGGGCAGTGGAGGAGAAGGAGGAGGATGGAAGTGGTGGTGAAGGAGGAGTGTCAGAGTTAGTTGGCGGCAGAGAGGACGAGGAAGAGGCGGGCGGGGGACGATGGCTGGGGCAGTTCGAGAGGTGCAGTTGATCCGAAGATGTCCAACAAGTCCGATTCGTGCCCGGAATGTCCGGTGGCATCGAGGACACGTAGGGAGAGGTTGTGCGGCGGCGTTGCGGACTGGGCGAAGTTGTGATTTGCGGGCTTCGCGTTTCATTTTGGCGGCTGCAATGCGGTTGGCTTCGTAGATAGCCGCGCCCGTCTTCACTGTTCTCCTCCATGTCGGGCGATCGCGAGCGAGCTCTTCCCATTTGGTCGGGTTGATTTGCAGGCGCTTCAGGGAGGACTTCAGAGTATCCTTGTAACGGCGAATCTGGCCTCCTTGACGGCGAGAACCCGTCGCGACGTCTCCGTAGAAGAGTCGTTTGGGTAGTCGCTCGTCATCCATGCGCACCAGGTGGCCGCTCCAGCGCAGCTGCATCTCCTGGAAGAGCGCAGTCAGGTGATCCATCAGTAGGGGACCTCCTTCTGCACGGCCCTGATAGTTTCCTGGAGAGATGGCGGGAGGTCGAGGTCCACGTTGGTCGCCACTTGCGGCAAGCGGGCGATGGCGGCGTCGGAGATGACGGAAGGGCGGTTGAGGACGCCTCGGAAGTGCTCGGCCCATCGCTGTAGGATTTGCGCCTTCTCAGTCAGGAGGATGCTGCCGTCGCCGCTGAGGAGAGGAGCAGTGCCCTTCGTCGGCGGACCGTAGACAGCTTTGATCGCAGAGAAGAAGTTCTTCCATTCGTTGCGGTCCGCGTAGCCTTGGATCTCCTCAGCTTTGCGAGCAGTCCAGGCGTCCTGCATCTCGCGCAGTCGTTGCTGAAGCCGTCGGCGACTGCGGTAGAAGG